TTACAGATGTGAAAACTGAGACAGAGCAATCAAATAACTTGCCCAACGCCACTGCAGGAAACAGTGTCAGCGATAGGATTAGAACTCAGTTGTTCTAGGCTCCCAGTTTTGCAGTAAAATTACAGACAATGACTCCTGATAGCTCATCATTTGTATTGACAACATTCCAGAGATTTCCACAGGAAAACAAAAAATTCAAAGGCCCACATCTTAAAAATCAAGTAACCTCCTTAGCCATGGACAAAGGAATACACAAAATAAAAATGAATCACTAGGACCATGAAGTGGGGGCTTATTTTGTGCATTTCTTGGAACAAGATGGTCATTTAAAAATCGAGGGGGAGGTATGAGTGTGTGTGAGAGAGAAATCATTCTCTTTAATTTCCTTCTCTGTAGATTTAAACTTTTTCCTGAATGTATTACCTGTCCAGACAGCCCAGACTCCCAGGTTCCAGTTCAGGAAAACATGCCCATTCATGCAGGGCACTTAAGCACATGTGTAACTTTCAGTCAATGGGATGTAAGGATATGCTTAAAATTAAGCATAAGCACTACCCTGAAAGGGATGGATTTAAGCATGTCTTTCCTGAATCGAGGCATCACTGAGGTATTTAAGCACTTGCTTAACTTTAAGCACACAGGATTTGTTCTAAAGCCCACTGAAGACAAGAGAGAGACTACAACTGATTTCAATGGACATCGGATTGGGCCTTAAAGAATTCCCACCAAAGTTTCGGACTGACTACCTTCCTCAGGGGGACCCAGGTTAATTGATTCCTGTAGTGATGACTGTGCTATAAATATTCCTACGGTTTCTCCTCTACTTTCACCATGATCTCTCAAGCTTGCTTCCAAAACAAATGTGTTCTACATGCCACGGACTTAATAGTCTCCTCTCCCATGTCTTTCTTTACCATTGCTCTTGATTCTGAAACATAAATAAAATGGGAATTAAAAGCTAAGGGAGGGAAAAGGAAAAAGCTTTCTGAAGTACAACAAAGGCTACGTCTATCCCAGGAGCTGGGCACGATTCCCAGCTCGTATAGACATATTCACACTAGCTCAGGATCGAGCTAGCTTGCTAGAAGCGATAGTGTATCCGCACTAGCATGGGCAGTAGCAAGCACCAGCACAGGCTAGCTGCCCCAAGTACATATCCAGGGGGTCCAGGCAAGTTTGCACTTGGGACGGGTAGCACATGCCATTACTCACTCCTGCCCATGCTACTGTGGCTATACTACTATTTTTAGAGAGCTAGCACAAATACGTATACTCAAGCTGGGAATCACACCCTCAGCTTCAACTCTAGACTTGGCCTCAGAGTCCAAAACCTTTCCATTCTGCCTATTTTAAGTTCATCTAAAACTTGGCAGTACTGGAGAATCTGTTGCAAACTTTATAGCCCATTCTTTCACCACTGAGCTCTAATTTACCTTATTTTTTCCACTAATAAAATTATAGTTGGAAGGACCCCAATCTTGCCAGCTGGAAGCAGTTGTATTGAGAACCGCTTAAAATTGCAAGGAGCTGGAGTGATGGTGTTTTGTCATTTAGAAAATGTCACCCCATTACTAAATGCAACATACTGTAACATGGCGTGACCTCATGTGGGAATGTCAGAAGCTTCCTGCAAACGTCTTCTCACCATTCATAAAACAAAAGTGAACGTAAATCAGAGGTCAGCTTATCTCTCCTCCCTTTCAACAGATCCAGGCTAAATGGGCAGTTAACTTAGCGGAACAAAATTAATGAAATGGTTTGACTGAAATACTAACTGTGCTAAAATCTGAACTGGAAAAGTCTGTATAAAGTCAAAGTTACAACTGAAGAGTCTGGTGTGGTAACAGACACTATGTATTGTAAGACCACCTCTGGTTACTAGCCCTTGATCCGTAATATTACCATTTAATAACCAGTGCTGCAGGATAAAAGGGCTGCTAACTCTGACATTTTTGCTCTAACTTGTATTTCTTTTTCTGTTTAGTCCTATTGAACTTCTATTACTGCACAGTTACGTTTCTGTGAAGTTTATGGACTTCTGATACACAGATCTTCCAATAAATCTGTACAATCTTCAAACAGAAGTTATGGCCTTAAAATCTATGAATATGTGTACTTGAAAGAAAAAAGCAGTTTTGTATTTAATAATAAAAATGCTCCTGGGGAAAAATCAGGAACGGTGTGGTGTGTTTTATTAATAATCTTCCACAAGATGGCTAAGAGTCCAGTGTCTTCATGGGCTTCGGAACAGGTACACTTCAGTGTTATGAGGTTAGATGAAGATATTATTTCAATTGGAAAAAAGGAAGAAGGACTGAAAACAGCATATCACATGCTTCATTTAATATATGTGTATAGTCAGTAGGGAAGGAAGAGGATTATTGTACAAGACTTAAAACAGATCCGCCAACTTTACAGTAGTAGTGAACATACTAATGTCCGTACAATAGAATAAGTTACTAAAGCAGTTCCCATGGGCTAGCTGATATATGAAGCTGCACTCATGTTATCTTTAAAGATGGGGTATTATTAACCATGGGGAGATGTGTCAGTTGCTCTATTATATACAAAATGCCCAGAGTCCAAGTCAGCAAGCACTGAAAATCTGAGAAAGCAGCCTGTCCTTTAAATGACCAAACACTTGTAGCAGACATAGCTAGTACCTTGCAGAGTAGGCAAGTGTCAGGTACTGAACAGCATTCCATTGTTCACACCATTCTGGCTGAGTTAGCATCCACTGGGAGTGAAAGTTGTGAAGGAGGAGAGAAAATATTCATAGGAATAAAGAGCAGAAGGAAAATTCCATGGGACTGCAGTCCCTGGTCTAACAGAGTGGAGATACTCACCTTTGGATGGAGAACTCCCAGCATATGCTCCCAGTGATTGGTCATAATTGAAAAAAAAAAGATGAAACTCTTAAAAAGCCCATAACAAAAGCATGTGTGTGTTTACTCACATATTTAAGCTTCTCATAAGAACACTAGTACCTCTTTCAACTGGCAAGTACCCCTGCTATGAAAAAACACTCCTTCAGGGCTGGGAAAATGCTGTTTGAGCTCCCTAAATTACATCTCACTGCTTGTCATTTTCTGATTGATGAACTAACTTCGGGAACAATATCAGTGTGTGGAATATTGCCTGAACAAGCAGTCAATGATTATTGAAAATACAGTGTTTATGCAGTTTAAAAATCAGTGAGCATATTACGCACAAGTTTTTTTTTCTGGAGCAATGAAAAATACTGAAATTAATTTGTTAATAAAAGGCATAGGGCTTTTTTGTCCATTTTTAAGAATGCTGGACTAGTGAGGGTCATTAGTTAGTCATGATGGATGCAAGAAAAAGTGCCACCTGCAGTTGAATGTGAAGCCAAATGCTTATTTGACCACTGAATACAGAGAAAGGTGTTGCTGTTCAGCGGTTGTCAGAGCAGAGGGAGGAGAAATAAACTGAAGAAAAGAAAGGGAAAGTGAAAGCAAGGATCACTAATTTCTCTGAGCCATTTAGAACTCCCAGAGAAGGGGAAAAAGTCTCTTAGGTTTCACCACATCATATTTTGTTTCTTCATCTTCTGGTGTGGTGAAACCTGTCAGAAAATAGCCACTTCAAAAATACCGGGCCAGATCTTCAGCTGGTATAAATTCTATTATGCAGAGGCCTGCAGGGATTGTGTCGAATCCTTGCTGACGGCAGATTTTACTGATTATACTATCTACATTGCCTTTTGGTCTGGTTGCCACTTACCTTTACGATGGTCAAAAACTGAACTAAGCCTGTTCTCTAACCCCTGCCACTAAACCACGTCCCTTTTGCCAAGCCATGTCACTCCCTTAACTGGAACCATGAAGGGACTCTCCTACTACAAGGTATTGGTAAAACTTTCCTCTCCTACCTTTTCCTCCCTTCCTGGATGCTAGGGAGCAGGGACCCTCTGTTCTCTCTCCTTCTCTCTTGGAAGAGGGAAGTACCATTGGTTCCTTCTGTCCACAAAAGGAAGGTGGTTCCACTTACAGAAAAGACAGGTGGTGTGTCCATGTGACTTCTCCTCTCCTAGAGGCTTCCACATCACTGAATCCACCTGATCTGCATCTTCCCCTCTGTCCAACTGACCCGGATTAGGCACAGTGGGACATGATTCCCTGATCAGCACTTTGATTGCTTTAAGGCCCTGTTCATGCTTCATAGTCCTATTGCTCCATGTCAGAACTGCTAACCCACTACAGATAAACCCAGAGGCCCTTACAAACAAACTAGTGTACAGACATTTTAAAAATAAACTTTTTAGTGTTATGGGAAAAACACCAGATGGGAAAAATATGTGTTTCTCTGGAATTCTTTTCAACCAGGCAATGTAGTCTGATGTGTTTGAAAGCTAAGAATGGAGGTGGGTGAATTATTTCCCACAGAGAACCCAGTCCTTCTTTACTCCAGGTTTTGGATGGATGGGCCTGAAGTGTCTTCTGAAACACACGTGGAGACAACAACAGGATTGCAAGCCACGGGGGCCTGTGAAAGTACTGGCCTGAAAGGAATATTTAGTGAAAAGAATCTTTAAAAAAATAAAGAGGTGGTCCCTTCTTCGAAAGACAGCTCAGAACTGTCTGGGGTAAATGTTTCCCTGGAGAAACTTATTTGATTGAATATGAATAGGGATTGAATAGGAATAGGAATTGAATAGGAATTTGCATTATTTTAACCTTTAGTTGTTCTTCCTGCAATCTACCGAAACGAATGCAGGAGCAGAAAAGACCCTAAAATTAGCACCTTCCCTCCCACACTAATTTATCAGACTTCCAAAAAGTGAACTTCACAATGCCATATGCATCCCAGCACCACACATCATCCAAAAACGGACTGCTCTTTGTAAGCTTGGTTATGATACGTACCTTCAGCACTGCTAAATTAAACCTTTTCCATAATCCTAGTTTTTTATGTCCTCTCAAGGTGAATTAAAAAAATATCTGAGACCCCCATTAGGTCTGGGGTGACTGTGCACCTACCGCTTGCTTTAGACTCTGAGTATGAGGGGCTGTCCTCGAAAGTGAAGATCTGCGGAACACAAGCAGGGGTGCTAACACTCTGGCCCAGGTAGGAGGCAGGAGGGTAGTATGAGTGCATCCTGTACTGGGAGCTCATGGCATGTCGGCTCTCTGTGCTTTTCATCTGTTCAAAGAAAGAATTAGAACAGCAGTGTATAAAAACTGAATCAGAGGTGGGGAGTGAGATTTATTTGCATCATGGAAATTTCTCACTGTCCTTCATTTACATATTATTGACTTAGTTTTCAAGAAAAAACACATTCATTTCCTAGAATTTTTGTTTAGAAAATACTTATTTCCAGCACAGATAGTATCACTGTGAGCTTTCTAATCCCATTCTGTCTATGTGTTCAACCCTGACGAACAGTAGCAGAGATGAACAGCAGCCATTCGGTCCTTGGAGTCTCCAAAGAGACTAACAACCATGGGACCAATTGGTGATGGTAGTTACTACAATGAGAACACACACATATTCCCTAGAAACAGAGCATACCAATCTAGAGACTTATATAGACCCCATCAACTGAGTATCTGAGCACCTCACACACATTAATGAATTTATTCTTAAAACCCAGTGAGGTAGAAAAATATTATCCTTCTTTTACAATGGGAAACTGAGTCAGGCAGAAATTAAGTGACTGCCTCAGTCACACAGGAAATCTGTCAGAGCCAGGAATGGAATTTAAGATCTCGTAAGTCTCAGTCCAAACCATCCTTTCTCATTTCAAACAGCCCAAACTGCTTCCAGGTCGTAAAAACTTTGAACCTGGATCAAGGATGAATGGAGACCAAAACTCAGAAATGAAGGCTTATCCTATTTCCAATCCCTTGGGCCAATCTAATCTGCCCTCCATCCTTGAGCTTTATGAAGTGCCCAAACAGAATTAACTATATCTTTAAATTTTTATTTTACGGAAACTGGCATTATTATTTGTTTTAAACTTCTATACCGTAAGGCTGATATAACAGTTAAAGGTAAGCGAGAAACCTAGAAAGCCATTATTACTAAAAACATTAAAATCCTATGTGCAAAGGTAATACTATATTACCTAACTTCCACAAATTGGTTTGTCATTAAATTACTAGTAGATAAAGAGCTTTTGACCAGAGAAAAATGATCACAGTATTATTAAACCTGTAAATCTATCCATAGGCACACCTGTACAACTATGCCATCTGAAGTTCCTTATCTAAGGTACAGTGTACTCATGTTACATACGGACAGTGGGCCAAATTCTGCCAGCAGTTATACCCATCGTATTCTGTGGACTTCACCAGAATTTGGCCCTGTATGTTTATCCAACAAAATATGCCCCTGCAATCATACTTGGAAGAAAAACAGGAAAAGTTCTACCTGGTACAGTGAATGAGTGTGTCGGCGGAGCTCTCCAAATCTACTTTTCCGAGTGTTTCCCCTGTTGTTTACACTCTCAGTATTCAAACTGCCATATTAGAATTAGCATGGTCTTAGTAACACAGAGATTTCACATGAATAAGACTTAGCGCAATATCCTACCCTCTGTTTTGGGATGAAATTCCAAGTGATGTGACTAAGGTGCATATTTATTTGTTTTATGGCTGCAACACGGTCTTAAACAGTTATAGACATACCTAGAGATAGACAGGATATACCTACAGTCCTGCAGGTATGGTCTTTAATATAACAAACAATAACAACACTCATTTATAAGATGATTTTCTGCTCTCTGAATGCTAGGTACAAAAACATAAAATAAACCAATTAAAGTTTACTCCCAATAAGACAATGTTAAACAAACTTCGGAACCAACTCCTTGTCCGGTAGCATTCTGAAAACTTTTTGAAGTCAGAAGGGGCTTAGGCCTTGCTTAAAAGAGGTCAAACCAATGACCCTAAGGTCGGATAGTAAGGCACTCCCCAAAACATAGGGAGGCCAGGGCTAAGACATAAAGCTCAGCACACTTCCCATCTCCAAATCCACAATGCCCTCTGTGACCAAAGAAGGCGAGAACGCAATATAAAAAGCCAGAAACTCAGTATAAGGCACGTAGGACCCAGTCTATTCCTAAGGCTTCGAATGTCGACATCAAAGGCTCCTTCTCAGTCCATGCACCTCTGAAGGCAGTGAGCGCTGAGCATGGTGGAGCAGATGGTAGAAGAACCACCTCTGCCTGCCCTCAGCAATCATGTTGTCATGTTCTGTGGTATGAGACAACTGTCCTGGCAGCTCAGTTTTTAGGCCTGCTATCCTTGAAAGTAACTGTTTGTGGGTGTGTGGAGTCTGTGTGCAGGCACTAAAAATATCACCTGCTGGAGATAATATTATTTGAGCAGCAATAAAATGGAAGAACTGCTCAATGGCACTGAATGAATGTCTTGTTTCCTTCCCCTGCAGGATGTGGGTGTTGATCTGTTTCCTTTCAAGCCTTTTAAAGCTTTCCCCCCAATTCCTTAAAAAAACAACTCACCTAAAAATCCCAGGATTCAATGAGTTATTACGACTATTAGTATTAGTACGTGGTAGCTGTCGGCAAGAGACATGTTTTATAATCTTATTACCCACACCAAGTCTATGAACCACAGTCCGACCAACAGACAGGCTTGGCTCTGCAAAGAATATGCATTGAATTAACCACCCAAGAAATCAAAAAGCTTTAGGTTTTGTTTTATTAAACTGTTTAGAATATACACCACTGTAAATCTGAACCAGAAGGTTTCCTTTTCATAGTGCTTAGCTACCCTATTTTATAGTAACAGTAAAAAACCAACCAAACATAAACATTCTTGACCTTATCACTGTATTAAAAATGGGGACCTATGAGATCATTACCCTGGGGGAGGGTGGGTTTCACTCTGTATTAACCCCTTCAGCTTCGGCTAGGTTGGGAGTTCTTGCACCATTGGTGATAAGTCAGGAGGAGGGCGCTCATGGCATGATTGGGAGTTCAAAAGGGTTCCCAGGGGGACAAAGTGGTACCCTCATTATGGGATACTTGCCATAAATATTGGGACACATTTTCTATCAGCAGGATGCTGTGAGGTAGATTGTCAAACTGGCGGGCAGGTAGCAAAACAGGGGTAATAGTCGTCTCCTGTGCTCTGGCTTGAACACAGACCCCTTTCATTTTGAAAGGAGCATTTAAAATAAACCCACAACATAAGCCTCCCTTCTCACCCATCCTTTCCTCTGTTTGTTTGTTTGTTTGTTACACCCACCTATTGCAACTTACCTCACCCAAAGTTTGCGAGCTCTTTAGGACAGGGAGAGCGCCCAGCACAACCAGGCCCCAAACCAGTTGGGGCCTCTAAATGCTAGTGATAAGAATGTTTAACCTGCACACTTTTTGCTGGGGCATGGTTAGCAGGCCTCTTTTCCAAAGAGTTATAGGATTACAACCAATCACTCTTTTTTTACAATGCAGCAAGGGCGACAGCTATTGAGCTAGCTGCCCCATCACCTGTAAATATGGTATTGCCCTTGCTTAGAACTCTTGGGTTTCTCATCTCTAGCCACCTCCTACCAGTTGCATTTCATTATCACTCCTCTTTGCATTTGGTAATCCTTTGGGGCCCATCTTTGCCCTCAGATGCACAGCCAGGCCACAGCTCTCACTGAAGAGAGATTTGGCCCATTCAGTATTCACAGTTGCTGGTACACTGTGCAAATGCAGTATAGCGTCAAAGGATGTATTGTGTACGGCAGCCAGATAACTGGTGAGAGGGACTTTAAAAATGATACACGAAATAAATACAAGCGAGCCAAGAAACCATGTAAACTGTAACTTTGGAATTCTTTTGTTTCTGTTGTTTGAAAAGCCGGTAGAGGGCTCTGCATCAACAGGCAGTTGCAGGTTGTTCACATGCGTTTGTGTGTTAAAAACTGCTAAACGAAAGCCTTTCGTCAGTTAATGACCACAACACACAAAGCCTCCAGCTCTCCACCGATGGCTGACAAAGCAACAGAACCATTACCTCTATGAATATTACAGGAGCTCAAACAATACGACATTCCACAAACTCAGATCATTGCCGGGAATCCCACCGGGGCAACCTCCCCAACACTGCAGAAGAGGTGGGTGCAGCCCAGCCCCATCTTTCCAGGCCCCTTGCAGCACCTCCCCTGCCCTGCAGGTACCTTGTGGAGGGCTCTCTACAGAATCAAGAGACACATATTAGGAACTAGGAAGACCAAGGATGGGAGAAGATCAGACCATTGCACCTGACTGCTTAGTCTTCTCCTACCAGCCCTGTAAACATTCAAGCATTGCGAACCCTAAGTGTTCAAAGATCACGAGTCAGGTCCCCAAAATCATGGGAGTTTCAACAAATGAGAAATGCATTTTAAAAAAATGAAAGCTGAGATTTAAGAAAAAGACCAAATATCATGTGACCTGTGGTAAAACTGCAAGTGTGGGAAACACTGAGTCAGAAAAAATATACACCTGGAGAGCATGGGCATCCTCCTTTAGGGCCTGAACCTGCTGCCATCGAAGTTGATGATAAAGACCCCACAGAGTTCAAAGGCGGCTGAGACCAGGGCAATCAGAGCTAGGGGAAAAGCTTGGTAAAGTAGTTCCCTCAGAGCCACGCTGCCCAGGATGGAGCAGAGTGTCAGGGAAGGAGGGAGTTGTATTGAGCACCTCCGGGCCGAGTGTCCTTGCAGATCCCAGGGAATCCATGGGTCCCAGGGGTAGGGGAAGGAGAAACCTCATACACCCCATAGAATGATTTGGGGGGAACTCAAAAGATCCTTGCAGAAGGATCCTCCTTTCCTCCTTTGCTCTCTCCAGGTGATTTTTCCATGGGAAGGGCAATAGCTAGTTGTGGAAAAGTCGACTGCCTCGGTGTTAACCCCCTTGCAAAATAAACAAAACTGAGCTGATCACATCTTTCTTTGTGTAGCTGGCCCAGCCCATTCCCCAGGCACAAATCTACAAGGAAGAAGTCACATCTCCCTCCTAAAGTGCCCATCTATGGGGGAGACAGATGCTGCAAAGAGCACAGGTCTGGGAGTGTGATCTTGGGCAGGTCACTTAACATACAAACTCCATGACTCTGCTTCCTCAATGACTCAGACATAAGCTATCCCCCGCCAAAGCTGCCTTAAAATTCTGGCAGAGCCTTTTCGGCTTCTGAGCATGTATA